ACATGTGTACAATTGTATTTCATTTGTAAGTCTTGCAGATGATACAAAATAACAAGTTTTTATAATTGAGAGGAGATATGCTAAAGCACATGCAACTAACCATACTCCTTCTGTAGCTGTTTGTGGGAAGGAAGTTCAAAGTTTCTCATAGTTACTAAAGGATGATAATCTCTCTCTCTCTTACACATATACATGCACGCACAATAGTGTGGTACTTTCCTCTTATGAAAGCAGATCTTTCTAAAAGTACTTTTGCAAACATTCAAATTCTTACTCTTATGTCATAGATAGTTGCATATAAAATTGCATATTTTAGTTTAATTACTCCAAATATCCATGGAATGCAAATGCTTCATTAGGTTTATTTTAACATTTTGCAGTGTAGTAGTGGTGGTCATGATGCATCATTTGTATTATTACAGACTGTTATTCATAGTTTATCACCTCCCAATACTGAAGACTGTATAGATACACTAGAAATGAAGCGGTATAAGTAGTTGGTTTAGTATAATATTGTATCTTTTCAAATGAACAAGTATAATTTTTAGATTATCTGGTGTAATATCTCTTGTTCTCCCTCATGACAAACGAATGGCCACCTTTTAACCCTTTTGAGACAGGTCATAGGTGAAAGGCCATGTCATCTCGTTTGTTAACTCGCATTCAAAATTTTATTGAACTACTATTTCATGAATTTATATCAATACGTTTGGTATCAAACTGTAGATTATAATTCAAATTTTAGAAATATACATTACTCAGTTTCTTAATTTAAAAGTAAATATTAAAAAACACACACAGATAAACATTGATTTTTATGTGTCACATGGGATGTTGGATGCAGCACTGTTTCAGATTAGATGTTTGTAAAGTCAAAATACTAAGTCTCTAGTTTCATACAAATTAGAAACTCAAATTACCAATATTGACAAGCTAGAATATAAAATTAGAGCTTATCTTTTCTATTTGCTAAGATATTGTTCATGTAATAAATCAAACACAGTAGCACCCCACCCACCTCTTTCCATATATATGACATGAATAACAAATTGGAAGCTCAGAATGTCCCCCTAGTGGTTTTATTAGTCTTTCTAATGTGGCTAGCACCAATTCTTTCTTTTGAACCAAGATTTCAATGAGGTAGGTTCTCTTTAGTCTGCTCGAAACTTCGTTTTTTTAAGAGTAAAATACATCTTAGTTACTAAGCTTGATAAATTATAGTTGAATTCTATGTTATTGATGTAGT